GATGCGGGACCCCTGGGATCCAGAATGTTCCCACCGTCTCTGACACTTGCTCAGGAGTTGAACAGAATCACAGCTAAGGGATGGAGGAGGCCTCAAGCCTGTGCCCGTTAATTTCCAGGTTAGAGGATGTCATGCTGCCCTCGGCCGGGCATCCTGGGCTCCTGGGATCAGGCAAGTCTGGCCTCTACCCCAGCAAGCTCTGAGAGGCCCCTCTGAGCCTCAGTTTCCTGCTCTGGGTCATGGAGCTGTGGAGTCTGCCCCGTGCTCTTCTTACAGGGCTGCTGGGGCTGGCGGGAGGGTGGGATCCCTGTGGGAGAGCAGAGCTATGAGAACCGAGCTTCTTTACATATCAACTTGGACTGAGGTTCCCTCTGCACCTGCTGGAGTGGGAACTGCACCTCCGAGGAGATGAGAGTGGGGCCCCTAGCATCCGGCCAAGAGGTCCACCGCCCACAGCCCCGAGCCTTACACTGCAGCGGACGGCACCTCTGTTCTCTCTTGGACTGTCATTACATCGTTCCCTTTCAGTGGGGAGAGCTGGGGGCCCTGTGAGGTGGTGGCATGCCCCGGGGGCTTGGGTGTGTGGAGACGCTGGGCCCTTGGACCTGCACCTGGACTTGGAAGACCTGTCTCCCCTCCTCCAAATGCCGTCGGCCACTCTCAGGGCCCCGACACTGACCCTGTGGGTCACTCCAGACAATTTGCTGACCTCTGAGCTCAGACCCCTCCGCACACTGACCAGGCACGTGACCCTCTCCAGGCCTCACCGGTGCCCTGGGGGATGAGTGTTACTGTCTCCATGGGGTCCTGGGGGGTGAGTGTTCTCAGAACCGTGCCCAGCACATGGAGAGCCCTCGGCAAACACCAGCCCCTGTTTCTACCAGGATTCGGATGCCCTCCTGGGCTGACCCTGGGGACACTGGGCCTGGGTTTGCTGGGATGTGGCAGAGTCGTTGTGAATGATATAACTTCGCCATCCATCTCCTCCCCTCAGAGAAGCTTCCTCCTCGGACCCCGTGAATCTATTCATCATCTGTGTGCAGGGCGCCTACTGTGTGCGGGAGAGGAAGTGACCCACGTGTAGGAATTCTGAAGATTGAATGTGCTCCGTCCACTGCCTCCCAGCACTTCCTCCCTCCACCCTGCAGCCCCGCGTCCCATCATCCATGCTCCCACTCCCTCCCAGCACCTCCTCCTGCAGCCCGGCAGCCCCGTGTCCCATCATCCACGCGTTCACTCTCTGCCACACCTCCTCCCTCCACCCCGCAGCCCCTGGTCCCATCATCCACACGTCCACTCCCTCCCAGCACCTTCTCCCTCCACCCCGCAGCCCTGCGTCCCATCATCCACACGTCCACTCCCTCCCAGCACCTTCTCCCTCCACCCCGCAGCCCCGCATCCCATCATCCATGAGTCCACTCCCTCTCAGCACCTCTCCGTCCACCCCGCAGCCCCGTGTCCCATCATCCACCCGTCCACTCCCTCCCAGCACCTCCTCCCCCCACCCCGCAGCCCCGTGTCCCATCATCCACCCGTCCACTCCCTCCCAGCACCTCCTCCCCCCACCCCGCAGCCCCGTGTCCCATCATCCACGCTGGGACAGGCATTCTGGGTAGACGCTCACTGTGGGACCTCAGCCTGACCAAAGACTCTCAAAACCTTGCCCCTCTGAGTCCCATCTTTAGGAGAGCTTTGTCAATAAGACTCTCAGTCTAGTCCCAGGATGGCCTGAGGCACTGGACACGTGCAGCTGTTTCAGGTGCAGTGGCCTGAGTGTAAAGCACAGTCTCCTGTTTGAGGAAGCCACTGGTGTTCCCCAGACTCCTGGCAGCCGGGGGCCAGCTGTGCTGGGGGAGGATGGGGAGGGCTGGGGGGCAGGAGGGACCAGGCAGGGCCAGGAGGGGCTTGGGGAGCCAGGAGAGTTGGGGAGTTCAAGGGTCAGAGGAGAAGCCTGGAAGGGCTGGGGGTCCAGAAGCGGCCTGGGAACCTGGGGGTGCTACAGGGCCAGTAAGAGTTGGGGGTAGAGAGGGGTTGGGGGGAGAATGGGAGGGGCTGGGAGGCAGAAAAGACCCAGGAGGACCAGGGAGTGCCAGGAGGGACCAAAGGGAGCTAGAGGGGTCAGGAGGACCAGGCAGGGCTGAGGGCACAGGAGGGGCTGGGCAGGACCTGGGAGAGGGATGTGGGAGTGCAAGGTGGGACCTGGCGGGGCCAAGGGGAGCCTGGGGGCTGTAGGGGTGGTCAGGCAGTGCCAGGAGGGGGCAAAGTCGGACCCTCAGTCCCCAGGCCGCCAGCAGCCTCAGGCAGGCCCTGTGCTTGTTTTGAGTTTCACATTTTGGTGAGAAACGGCCTGTTTGGGTTCCTCCTCTGGAAAGTGCACACGGAGAGACTCTGAGGCCCTCAGCATGGAGATGGACTTGGCCTGGCCCTGGGGCAGGGCTGGGAACCGGAAGGTTAGAACTGAGGAATTTCAAGAGCCCAGCCCTGTCACAGCCTGGGGTGGTGGGAGTGGGGGCACCCTTGTTCCCCAAATCCGGTCAGAACCACAGAAGAAACCAAGACAGAGTAGGGGGCCACCCGACCCCTGCGTGGAAGCCAGTGGAGGCCGCTCAGAAGAATCCAGGCGGGAAACGCCCAGCTGTGTCCTCGTGCCAGTCCCAGCCCACTGAGGGCTGTGTCCTCTGGCCCCTCACTGGCCCCTCACTGCCCTGGTGTCATCCTGAGGAAGTTTTTGTCCCCGGCCTGCCAGTCGGATGGGAGGTGGCCATGAGGAAGCTGACAGTGCCTGGGGCAGACCACAGGGTCCCAGGGAAAGAGGCAGGGAGTCCAGGGTCTGCTTCCTGGTGGGGAGGTGCCCAGAGAGCCCCCTTGGCCTGGGGACTGCGGGGAGCCAGGTTCCACGGGGACGCCCAGCTCAGCCCTTTATACCCCAGGGAGCTGGTCCCTTCCCTCTCTGTGTCCCAGGGCCAGGCAGATGCACAGGGGCGTGAGATGGGAGCAGAGCTGGGCCAGGGCCCATGGGTCCAGCTGACAGCCTCTCGCCTAAGCCCTGGGTGGTGCTGTGCACAGCCCATGCCACGGGCGAGGAGCCTCGGACTCCAGTGGGCAGAAGACCCTGCTGTGGACCCACAGAAGCACGACTCCCAGCCCAGTGCTCCTCTGTCCCAGGGAAGCCAGCGCCACCGCAGACCTTCAGGGCAGCTGTCCTGGCTGGGCGACACTGAGGAGGGGGCTCACGGAGACCCCCACCCTCTGTACACCATCCTCACCTTCTATGAGCACAGGATGGAACTGGCCAGGAAGAAACGCTTGGGGACAGGAGCAAGAGTAGTGTGTGGTGCATGCTGAGGCTACATTAACCAAGGCCAAACACCCAGACCATGGGAGGTGACTATCCTTCTGAGCTGTGCACGTGTTCCATATATCAGAAAGAACAGGGACAAATGGAGGTGGATGCAGGAGCTGCATTTCAAAGGCTAAAGAGATGGTAAGTCTGGCCCGGATGTGGGGGCTGGTGGGTGTGGTTGGGGTCTTCCCGTGCGTGGCTCCCTGGCTGCACCTCCCTCCAGTCACACTGGCCTCTGGTCTCCGGCACAGGGCTTGGCACAGGTTGCCCCCCTACCTAGAAGGCACTTTCCTCCTAGCTTGTTGTTCCAGCTCACCGTCACCGTCACAGCCTCGGCCTGGCCTGGCCATGCACTTTGCAGCACTCATCCTCTGCTCAGCGCCTTGTGGGCTCCCTTCCTGACACATCCCGGTGCAGGGCTCTGCACACACGTGGAGCTGTCTGTCTACTTCATGCATGTGCTGTGGGGCTGCAGTCTAGGCCTCTTGGGTTCATGGTTGTGCCCCAACTCCTAGCTCAGGGCTCGCGAATGTTTGCTAGTGAATAAACAAACAGCTCCCACCCTGCTCAATCAAGGACGGAAGGAATTTGAAGAAAAGGCTTTTCTCTTCTTCCCCAGGAGGCAGACCAGGGGCCAATGGACAGCAGATTCCAAGAGTCCTACTTCAGCTGGGTGCAAAGGGCAGGTGTCAGCCAAGGAGGCCTCTCTGGAGGGGTGCTGCTACACTAGGCCCAACCAGTCAGCAGTGCGGGGGAGGGTCTCATCTGTGGTCAGTTTGCACTCAGGGACCTGGTGGTTGCTCTCAAATCTGCCGCTCTCCCGCTTCCATCTGTGGGAGGGAGGGATAAATGTGGGATTCCTGGGATTCTCCATCCTCCAGGAGCCACCATGGGCCATCCCCTCACTCCTGTGACATTTGGTGGAGGAGCCTCTGCCTAGCTTCTGCGAGAAGGGGCGCCCTGAAGTCTCGGGAAAAGGAGGTCAGGGCCCAGGTGCCACCCAGCCTGGGAACTTTCGTCCCAAGCACAGTCATTTGCACACAGTCATTTGCACGCCGCTGAACGTCCGCCCAGCAGCACCTCCCTACTTTGTTAATGGAAGCCCGGTGATCCGTAACATGCGTGTGGCAGACATCTGCTCGGGGGTAATGCGGTGGTAATGTACATATCGATGATCAATCAGTGGATTTGCAAGAAAGGCATAAAGTATTTAATTATAATTGTGTGGGGCAAGTCTGCGTGGTGGCGGCGACATTTGAGTAGGTCACAGCCAGCCCTCACCCTGTTATATTAAATGCCATTCACTCTAAGGGCTGGGAACCTTTCTGAAGTTGCAGGGTATCACACACTGGCAAATTGAAAATGTCCCTTTGCTTTTAAAAATATGATTGATACCCTTTGCAAAACAAATGCTACACCTCATCATACACAGATTTCCCCCAGTGCCGCCCTTGCCTCTCCCGGGCATAGAGTCTGCATTTGGCCACAAATACATTCTCAGAGGGGATAAGCTATGAAGACCTTGACTTATTCTGAGGCCCCCCCAGGAGCGTCCTGTTTAGGAAAAGGGGTTTTGTTGTTGTTTCAAGTCAGGCTTTGCTTACCAGAACAAAGTGCAGGAACTCAAAAGATAAAATGTAAATTTTATTTCCTCTTTTGGCAGCAGAAAAATATATCTTCGGATACTTTCTTTGCCATATACTTACGTATGGGAGCATCTGCCTCTTATGACCGTCTAAATTACATCTTGTATGATTTAAATCTAGGCTTTTAGCACAACCAGCAAAGGGATATAAATAACAAGAGTGCAGACAGACACAGGGCACACACCACAATACACACGCACACACACGTGTACACACCATGCTGATAGCCTGTACAAGCCAGCATGGAGAGGGTGAGGAGCCAAACTGGAGCTGCATGCCTGCGATGCACAGTCCCATCCGTGAAACGAGCGTGAGAGCCGCAGCACCCATCTCCTGGGATCCTACACCTGGTGGGCGGTGGGAGCGCCGGAAATGCTGGCTGCTCTCCCAGCAGAGAGTTCTGGAAACCAGAAGCTGACATTTGCAAAGGAGAGGTGTCCACATTGCAAGCCTCATTTCCACTTCCAGGAACAGGCATTTGAAGCTGGGCTCCAGCTCCTTCTCCCTGGGCGAAGGGTGCCCTTGTAGGCAAAGGCTGCGGTTGTCTGAGCCAGGAGGCTGGGGAGTGGGCGTATCTCCACGGGGCCAGGCGTTCACAGCATCTGTCAGCAATGGCCTTCCTCCCTCTTCTCAAAACAATGAACCAAACACATCAAATCTATTTACAGGGCAGGTGAGTGGGGGAATGCTTGGATTTTTCCGAACAGAGATGAAGCCAGGGCCAAGCATCTTTTGCATGTTCTGATCTGTCTCTGCAGCCCGCCTACCTTCACAGCCGCCCAGTCCCTGTTTTTAAGGGTCCGATAAAGCAAGACTATGTAATTCCCAAACCAGACAGCCAGCCTCGTTGGGTACGTTTTTGCTGTTCACAAAATTAGCCAATCGTTGTCACCCAGCGAATCGGATTAGGTGTAATCCATACTAATGTTCCAATTAAGTCACTGAAAGCAATTAACTCTGCAAAAATGGACTGGTGAAAAACTATAAGGCTGGTCAAATAGTTTCACTGCGCATAACTGTGTTTTTCAGAATGCCCATCTCTACACAGTAATTAAATCATTTACATTTCAAGTGGAGTGCGCCCACCTCAGATGCTTGTAACCGTGCCCTGTGAGGTGTTGCAGGAATTTTATCCACAGCCTGCTCTCTTGAGCACCTGATTTTTTGGGAAACCAGTTGACAGAAGGTGCCTGAATCAGGGCTTACTCCCTGCTCAGAAGAATCAAGAAATTTGAACTTTGCCCCAGTATCATCCCAAATTTGGGCCCCACCTTCCCACCTTGCCTTTCTCCCTTGTGGTGTAAAAAGCACAACTGATTTCTTAAACTGTCACCAAAATACTCGGCTGACCCAACAAGATACATTTGTCACTTCCGATCATGTCACCCCTAGCATGGACACCATCATAAGTCTCGGGGTGACTAATTCATGGGGCCAATTGCCATCCCTCTTCACGGTTTGTGCCTTACCACTATTATTTTAACCATGGGGACGATGTCAACCAGCCCACTGACCGCACACTGGGCACTTGTGGCTTTTGGGATGTGGCTGTCTAGAAAGCTCACCTTCAAGTGACCAAGGAATGAAATGTTTCCCGACTCTAGGGAACATGAACCTGTGTTTATTCCTCAGAGCAAGAGCACTAGGCCAGTCCAGAGCAAACCCTCAGGTAAAACTGGAACCCAGTGGGGTTTTCCCTGTAAGACAACTGTTTTCCCAACAGGTAAAGTCACAGCCTCACAGTCTGTACCTTTAAGGAGCACCACCTCCGCCTGTCCTCCCAATCCAGGCCTAGCATGGCACCTGACCTTCAGTCTGCAGGAGAAATCGTAGGATTTGCCGAACTCTGGCTTCCTGACTCAAGGTGAGGCTGGACTCGTCTTTCCAGGGAGGGTCTGGGGAAGACCCCAGACTGAACTGCAGGGGCCTCCCAGGTGGCCCCACATCACATTGTCCAAAAGTGGAGGCCCACGTTCTCCAGCCGCGTATATCTGCCCTCCTGTGCGAGGCAGGGCGGCTTGAGTCCGGGGAAGGGGTCTGGGGAGGACAGGATGTAGTCGATGCTGAACTTGAGGTCCCGGGGGTGCTCCTTTCCCTGGGGGGCGGGGCTGGCGGGGCTGGCATGGGGGTCCCGTCCCGGGGCGCCCTCGCCAGCGCTGTCCGGTGCCAAGGACCCCTGCCCGGCGGCCGGCTCGGGCGGACCCGGGGGCCCCTGGGCGCCCCCTGCACGCGGACCCCTCAGCCCCTCGCGCTTGGGCCCGCGCCGCCGCCGCCGCCGCCGGTAGTTGCCGTTCTCGAAGAGGTCCAGCAGCGACTCGCAGCCGCCCGCGAACGTCCAGTAGTTGCCTTTGCCCTTCTCGTGGCCCTCGGACCGCGGCACCTGCGCGCGCGGAGGGAGGGGCTGGGAGGGGCTCCGCTGGGCTGCGCGCCGGCCCGCCTTGTCCCCTCGGGGCGCCCTGGACCCGGGCGAGGGCGGCGCACTGCGCAGGTGGAGGCGGCCCCGTGGGCTGAGGACGGACCTCCCCGCAGCCGCAGCGGTGCCCTCCCTTCCCCGTCACCGAGGCCCTGGCGCAGGGGTCGTCACGCGGGGACACCCGGGGCCCGTCGGGGGCGGCGCTCACCTTGACGAAGCAGCTGTTGAGGGACAGGTTGTGGCGGATGGAGTTCTGCCAGGCGCGCTGGTTGGCGCGGTAATAGGGGAACTTGCGCATGATGAAGTCGTAGATGCCGGACAGGGTCACCCTCCCCGCGGGGCTCTGCTGAATGGCCATGGCGATCAAGGCGATGTAGCTGCAGAGCCCGGGGGTCAGGCGAGGTCTCCGCGGGGCAGCCCTCCCCACGGCGTGTCCTTCTCCCCGTCCCGCAGGGCGCCGTGGGGCGCAGAGGCGGAGGAGTGAGGCGGTGTTGGGGAAAGTGTCCCCCGCAGCTCGCGGCCCCCGGCGCCACCCAGACCCCAGAAGCTCTTCCCCGGGCTGGAAAGGTCCCTCCCCGGAAAGCCAAGAACGTTCCCTGGCTCTCCCCAAAGTAGGGACAAATGCCTCCTTTCTCTGAGCTCCGTCGGAGAGAAGAAAGCCCCCTCATTCTTCCTTCGTCCCAGGCAGGTCCCGGCTACCTGGGACCCCTGCAGGGGGGGGTCCCTGTTCCCCAAACCCCCGCCGCCACCCCCGCAGTCACCTGTACGCGGGCCGCGTGAGCCTCTTGTCTTCGTCGGAGCTGCCGGCGGGGTAGTCGTCGGCGTCGTAATTGAAGCAGTTGTAGGGATACTGCGAGCTGTCAAACATCCTGGTGGGCCCCGGCTGCAGCTGCCGCCTCCTCCGCGCCGTCCGCCGGCTTCGCGCAGAGCCGTCTCCACGCGGCCCAGCAGCTACTGCACTGTGGGCTTCTCTCCGCCGGAGCCGGAACCTGGGTTTCTGGGGTCCCCCGCCTGTCCCCACCCCGTCCTCTCGCATCCAATCCCGGCGCGGGGGAGGCCCCAGCCACCCGTAAAGCGGCCGAGGGGAGCGGAGCGGGGCGTCTCGGTGACCCTCTGACCTCTGCGGGGGGAGGGAGGAGGAGGCGGCGCGCTGGGTGGTCCGACGGGCGGGGCGGCCCCCGCTCCTTTCCCGGGGAGCTCAGGGCAGGGCTCGCTCCGTCCCCGTCCCTGGAGGTAGCCTGGGGTGTCCTCACAGCCTCCCTGCACTGACGGAAGTCTCTTCGGAGCGCCCTGGTCCCGTGCACCCTGGTCCCGTGCGCCCCGGTCTCGTGCGCCCCGGTCCCGTGCACCCCGGTCCCGTGCGCCCCGGTCTCGTGCGCCCCGTTCTCGTGCGCCCTGGGGGCGCCTGAGACTCGGTGGTGCTTTCTGGGCGCCGGGATCCCCCGGTGGACACTTGGGTCTCAGCAGAGAGCACAGCCCGGAGTCGGCGTCGGAGACCAGGACTGTGGCCCCCTCCGCCACCTGCGCTGTCCGCTGCTCTCCACCCCAGAGCGGCCGGGGGTTCAGGCCAAATCCGTGGTGCCCGGCGGCCGTCTCCTGGCCTTGGTCAGTGGGTCAGCTAAGCCAGAAACGCAGGTCCCAGCGCTTTCTGCAGCGCCCGGTGCTCCCGCCCCGCGGTCTCTCAGTACCTGGAAGTGAGTCCCCGCCGGGGCGCCGAGAGAGGTGGACTCCCCATCGCAGCAGAGTCGCCGCTTCACGGGTCCCCTCTGGGCTGAAGCTCCGTTTTAGGTGCACGCAGAGGGAAGAGAAGAGAAGCCATCCGGGTTAGGAAATTCTGCAGAAAAGTAGAGAGGCGGGATCCTACGGGAGTAGGGGGCTTTGTTTCACTGTAGGCATGAGACTGAATAGTATTTCCAGGAATAATCTGCAGAATTCTGACTGAGAGCCGTGTCTGTGAGTCGGTCTGAGGCCAGAAAGCCCTGGATAGACACAGTCTTCTTCCAGGAAATGTCGCCTTCACAGCAGCACCTTCAGCTCTGAAACGACCCAGACGGCGGGGCATGGGGGCTCATACTTGAAACCCCAGCTCTGTGGGAGCCCGATGTGGGAGGATCGCTTGAAGCCAGGAGTTAGAGACCAGCCTCAGCCACAGAGTGAGACCGCCGTCTCTATAAAAAATAAATGAATGAATGAACTTGTTAAAATATGAGGTGACTTATACTGCTTGCACCCAGTTGGCCCCAGGGGTGCCTGGAACTGTCGCTGCCCTTGGTAAAGCCACGTCTGCAGGCGGGCTCAGCGCCCCGGGGGTCCCCCTTGGAGGAGAAACCTGGCACATGGGGGTGGGCACGTGCAACTCACCCTTCTGGGGTGGGCACTATGGCTGCCTGGCCTCGTTCGGGATCTGAGTCACACTCAGGCTCGAACACACTCAGTGACTCTGTATTGTCCCCTTAATCAGATGTCAAAACTAAATATGCGGGAACGAGGAAAGGTAAAATGGTACAGCCCCTCTCCAAAACAGTTTGAGTTTCTTTAAAACCTGACCATGTAGCCTCCATGATCCAGAAGTTACACTGGTGACCATCTATTCCCAGAGTGCAACCCCGGTTATAGTCACACAAAACCATGTTAATTAACGTTTATAGCAGCTTTCTGTCTAATAGCCCCGAACTGGAAGCAAGCCAGATGTCCGTCAAAAGGTGAACGGTTAAATAAACTGTGGTACATCCACGCTGTGGGTTACGGCTCTGCAACAAAAAGGAACAAACCACGAATGTATGCCATGGTCTCGGTGAATCCCAACTTTGTGAAAAGCAGCTTGTAGAGGCTCCAGACGACATAATCCCCCTTACATGAGAGTGCGAAGAACAGATGGGATCACAGAGTCATGCAGCCACCTCTGGAAAACACAGCCCACCACAGAGAGGGCCGGAACCGGAGAGCAAGGGAGACAGAGAACAGGAAGAACCAAGACTCTTCCACTAAGTGAGCCTGTGCACCCAAATTGCAAGACGCCCATGGAAATCTAAAGAAAGGCGGCCACCCAAGTCCACAACTGGAAAAGGAATCCACTCGTGATCAGATAAACTTTGTGGAGCAGTTGGACCAAAACCTGATGCCTTAAAATAAAGATGCTGATTCCCTGTCAGATAAACGACTTGCGAATACTGTCTCCCACTCTCCCATTCCACGGGTTTTCTTCACGGTGTCCTTTCGTGCACAAAAGTTCTTAATTTTAATGAAGTCCAGTTTACTGATTTCTCTTTATTGCCTGTACTTTTGCTGTCATACACATTCATGGATTTGTCAAATCCAACGTCATGAAGATCTTCACCAATTGTTTTTCTAAGAGCTAAATGATTCACCCCAAAAAAAGGGTGAAATTTTGATATGTGCTACAACACGGATGGACTTGAAAACATCACGCTTAGTGGAATAAGCCTGACACAAAAGGATAAATGCTGTGTGGTTCCACTAGTTTGAGGTCCCCGGAGTAGTCAAATTCATAGAGACAGAAAGTGGACCGCCAGTTATGGGGGCCTGGAGGAGAAGGGAGGGAGGCTTTGTTCTTTAACATGCACAGAGCTTATGTTGGGGATGATGAAAACGTTTGGGGTAGGGTGGGAGCAGCAGCTCATGCCTGTAATCCCCACCCTTAGGGAGGCCAAGGTGGGCCGATCATTTGAGGTCAGGAGTTCGAGACCAGCCTGGCCAACATAGTGAAACCCCATCTCTACTAAAAATACAAAAATTAGCTGGGTATGGTGGTGTGTGCCTGTAATCACAGCTACATGGGAGGCTGAGGCAGGAGAATCATTTGAACCTGGGAGGTGGAGGTTGCAGTGAGTCAAGATTGAGCCACTGCACTCCAGCTTGGGAGATGGAGTGATACCCTGTCTCAAAAGTAAATAAATAAACAAAAATTAACTCAAAATGCATCATAGACCTAAATGTAAAACATAAAACTATAAAGCTTGTAGACGAAAACATAGATGAATATCTTTTTTTTTTTTTTTTAGACAGAATCTTGCCCTGTTGCCCAGGCTGGAGTGCAGTGGTGCAATCTCAGCTCATTGTAAGCTCCGCCTCCCAGGTTCCAGCTGTTCTCCTGCCTCAGCCTCCCAAGTAGCTGGGACTACAGGTGCCCGCCACCATGCCTGGCTAATTTTTTTTAATTTTTAGTAGAGATGAGTAGAGACGGGGTTTCACCGTGTTAGCCAGGATGGTCTCGATCTCCTGACCTCATAATCCACCCGCCTCGGCCTCCCACAGTGCTGGGATTACAGGCGTGAGCCACTGCACCCGGCAAGATGAATATCTTTATGATCTTTGGTTAGGCAAAGATTTCTTTAATCTGACACCAAAAACATGATCTATAAACAAAAAAATGCATTACTTGCACTTTAAATTGAGAACTTCTACTCTTAAAAGACAGGAAAATTACAAGACAAGCTGCAAACTAGGAGAAAATATTTGCAAAGCAAACAGCCCAGTTTTTAAGATGGCACTTCACCAAAGAACATACAGCACATGAAAATTTGCCCCACGTTGTCATCCATCAGGGAAATGTACATTAAAACCACAACAAGACACCTCCACACATCTGTTAGTGCAGCTAAGAGGAAAAAGAGAACAAAACTGTGATGGTTCATTTTATGTGTCAACTTGACTGGGCCACCACGCTCAAATATTTAGTCAAACATTATTCCGGATGTTTCTGTGAAGGTGTCTTTTGGATGAGATTGACATTGAAATCAGTGGACTTTAAGTAATGCAGACAGCGCTCCAGGATTGAGTGGACTCATCCAATCAGTCAAAGACCTCAAAAGAACAAAGACTGAGCTCCCCAAGCCACAAGGATTCTGCAGCAGATGCCTTCAGATTCCTTCTTGAGTCCACAGGCATAGTCTGTGGACCTATGCCATCCGATTTTGCCAGGCTTCCACAGTCACATGAATCAACTCCTTAAATTGTCTCTCCCCTCCCAGTGCCTGCTACACAGACGTGTACACACATGTGCACACACGTGTGCACACACGCATGCACACACACCCCTGTTGATTCTATGTTTCTGGAGAACCCTGACTAATACAACAACCAACGAAAACCATCTCCAAATACCAAGTAGTGGAGAGGAGACACAGCAACTGGAACTCTCACTTGTTCCTGGTGGGCATCCAAAGTGGCTCAGCCATTTGGGACTCTAGCCTGGCAGTTTCTTGCAGTTACATATACATATTTATTCCATGCCCCAGCCATCCTTGTTCTAGGTGTTTGACAAGTCAAATGCTAACTGGTATAGAAAAACCTGTTTATGAGTGTATGAGGGTTTATAGTGGCTTTATTTGTTTTCCCTAAAAACTGGAAACAACTCAAATATTCTGGTGAGCAAATGAGCTGTGGTATCGCCATGTGCTGGAATACTATGCAGCCATGAAAAAGGAAAACCACTGAGGTGTGCAAGGCTGAACCCCAGTGCATTATGCTAAATGAAAGCAATGTGGTCAAAGGTTCTTACTGAATAATTCCACTTACACAACATGGTGCAAGACAAAACCATGGGGACTGAAAATGTATCAGCAGTTGCCAGGGGCTCGGGATGGGAGGAGACAGGTTCTGGGCAATGGACCCGTTCTTGTCTTGGCTGTAGTGTTGACTGCATGGTGAAATGCACTTGTCAAAACTTGCCCAGCTGTACACTAAGAAGCATGGATTTCACAGTATCCAGGTTATATCTTATTTTAAAAACCACTTTGATGATCTTAAAGATGAAAAATAGCCACTAAGCAAAGTAGACCAGATGCCATTGAAGATATAATTAGGAAATTGGAATGGCCAGGTGCAGTGGCTCACCTGTAATCCCAGCACTTTGGGAGGCCAAGGTGGGAGGATCACGACGTCAGGAGATCGAGACCATCCTGGCTACACCGTGAAACCCTGTCTCTACTAAAAATACAAAAAATTAGCCAGGCGTGGTGGCAGACTCCTGTAGTCCCA